CGTCATGCATCACATAACATATTAGGATTAATTAAAATATTATATTTACTTTAAAAATGATTTCATTTCTGTCTTGGAGTGGAAAAATATCATGATAGCATTTTTTTGGAGTTAATTTCCGAACATGAAGATTTTGGACAGGTTAAAATGGCCTGTGGCGGTACCATCCTACCGTCTCACGGTAGTGCATTACCGTCGCACGGCAGTGCATTACCGTCGCACGGTAGTGCATTACCGCTACTGCGTGCTGCATTCGAATCAGGAACAGTACTTCGTCTTCAACCTCGGTTCAAGCTTCGTGAATATCATTTTGAGCTACCAAACTTCAATTAAACTATATAGAAATGTTCCCCAAGGTTCATAGATCATTTTGGTATCATTAATTCATAGTTTTAACATCAAATTCAAGGTTTATGATTCTTGGTTCTTCAAGCATGTCAAACACAAAACTCAACCAAATGACCATTTATGAACGTAGAAACGATCTATATGAACATTCTAGTCATTAGATATATCAACGGGCTTACCTCGAAGCGTAATGGAGGTTTTGAAGATTTTCCGGCGAAACTTCCGGGGAGGATTGTGGCTATCTCCGGTGACTTCATACCAAACTAACAACACCACTGCATTCTCCATACTCAAGGCTATCTTTCAAAACAAATTTGAAGATGAATGGTAAAGAAATGGTGAAGTTGGGTTCTTTATATAGGGAAGGAATGGAGGAAGAGGCCAAGGTGATGATGTATCCGTTCCTGTTTCGGCGTCTCAGTGGAGGGGGCTGCGGCTCCTACAGATTTTATACGTAAGTCCCTGATTGGGACTAAATTGGTCCTAGTCGGGGAACATTTTTTGGTCCAACTTTCTCCGAATTAAAATTTGTTTGTACCGTTGCGATCGGACAGTTAAACTCTATCCAACGATATAATTTTTATATTTATTCGTTATACTTTTTCTGACATCATATTTTTGGATGTTTGACTTTGATATAGTCAAAATTGGTTTAATTGACCTTTATTCAAAAAGGTTCTCGCATTTAATTCATATTATTTATTTCCATGATTTATTTCAATAAATCATTTCAAAGTTCACATTACAAACAATTTATTTATTCTTAATTTGGGTCTGTACTCAGGTTCCCAATCAAGATCACACAATAAGTCAACAGGTTGGATTTATCTCTATGAGATTTGACCCAATTATGATTATTGGACATCAATATATATTTTATTTTGGCCCAAAGCCTAACAATAATTTATTTTAATCAAAACAATTTTTGTTTAATTGAATATTTAATTTGATAAATTTTAGGGTATATTTTGGGGCGTTACATTTCTCCCCCCCTTAAAGGAATTTCATCCTCGTAATTCTTCTAAGGCTCAACGTTCAACATTTTGTTGTGATCGTACTTAATCATAATCGCGTCATGTTCATTCAGTTAAATCATAATCACGTCATTATCCACACGGATAGTTATTCTCAAACTGTTGATGTTACGAAACTCGTTCTTTCTTCAAGAGATTAACAATCTTTGATTAAGCAAGACATTCAGTGATCCTTCAGTATCAACAACTATAGTTCCTTCGTGGTTATATACTTGACATACTTGCACAAAACTTCGTTCAGTCTCAATTCCTCGTTGTACCACGTTGATTAACAATATTCTTCCTCTGATTGAAGGTTCTTCAGTAGCATTTGTAATTTCAAGTTCGCGGTAGATGTAGTGGAAGATTTAGAGGTTTTTTAATTCATACATCATAACGTAACTCTCTCAAGTTACTTGAGTTATCTTCATATCGTTCACATAATTCAACAATTATTTGTAAGTACATCAATGGCGTTTAGTGGTCCAAGATTTTCAAGATATGGGATTTATCATCATTCACGAGGGAGTACTGTCGATCGGTTGTACAGTCATTCGTCATTCATCGACCTTATGTTGAAACATTTCTTCATTCATCTTCGTAGTAGTTCTCATTATCGTTAATGAGTCTATGTACCAGTTCCTATTTATACGTGATAACGTTCTAGTATCGTTTCGTGTACATCTTGTCATATCCAAATTTATTTTATCGATTTTGAAAATATATCTAGATATGATAGCGACAGTTTCAATTGTAGCACTATGGCTTATCTCGTTTCGAGGAAAAAGATAATATCTTCAGTACGTGATTCAATTCTTGAGTTCATAGAGTGAGGAATCTTTACTAGTTCTTATACCAATATCACATATGGGTTCGGAATCTTCACTTGAATGATTCAGCCTGTTCTTGTGACATCATTTCTTCTCTGGTTGTCGCACATAGATTTCCTTGCTAGGATTCTAACAATATCATCGATAATAATCTTCAGGGATAGCGTAATCATATTGATCATTTTGTAGTCCACAAAGAGAGGTTTAACATCATGTTTAAGTCAGGGTAGTTTTACTATTGTGATCGAGTCACGTATTCCACAGGGTATAGTCTTCAAAGATTAATATCATGGTATCACCGAGTATTGTTTTGGTTTCAATGAAGAATCATTTTGATACAAAAATTGATCAAGCGATATGTTTTCAAGGGTGTAACAAGTTTGAGTATTTCAAGGATATGAGTCACAAGATACAAAGATAGCGTTTGCGAATTACCGTTACTAATCGTAGGTTTTCTTCCTCTAATGTTTCACTCTTTTGGAAGTTACTCAAGAGGTCATTTATCTTAGGGTTATAGTCATTTTGACTTTTCATCTCGGGTTTGAACGTATTCCAGGACATCGAATCTAACTGTTCATGAGTCTCAACACGTCATATCATCAGCAGACCGTAGTATTGGTGAGTACGTCATTATGAGTAGGTAAATCGAATCCATCTTTGCTGCACAAATTTCGACTAAGGATAATTACCCTTTTCTCAAAGATCAATTTTCAAGTCTATATATATAGCATGATTGTGATAAGGGTATCTCACATTCTCACATTATGGAAGGAACTTCTCGAAGACTTCCTTATACTATAAGATTCGTTGGTCTACTTGGCAGTCATTCTCTTGGTAGAAATCCAAAGTTTATGGTTACTGCGGTAAAGTTAGGAAGGGAATTGATAAGGCGAAAGATTAAACTTGCCTATGGAGGAGGTAGTGTTGGCCTTCAAGGAGCTGTTGCTTCAACAGTCTTTACCAATGGTGGTATCGTTAGAGGTTTCATTCCTGGTTACATAGCAACACGAGGTGTCTACGGACCTACGTACGGTGTAGAGCATACAGTTTCCAGCAACTATTACAAGTATTTCGAGATGAATCACGCCGTGGAAGCTTTCATCATTCTTCCCGGAGGAGTTAACACTATGGAAGGTTTGTTCACCTTGATCTCGTGGGCCTCTGAAGGGTTACACAATAGACCCATTGGTCTTTTGAACATTGACGGTTATTTCAATAACCTAATCAAGTTTCTAGACGATGCGGTGAGACAGAATTTCATGGCTTCCAGTCAAAGAAAACTTTTCATTTCTTCTTTCTTTGTTGGTGAGCTTTTAGACAAGCTAGAGTTCGCTAAAGCTTTTCCGGCTTTTGGGGCTAATTATGACGAGTTCACAAATCCTGGTGGGTTAGATTTGGATTTACATTTATAATATTACTTCATGTAATCCCAGTTGTATTTGTGTCGGAATCCATAAATATTATTCTAGGCTGTAAGGTCAATGCGAGCTACATTTTCTTCATTCTATGGCCTTTCACTGTTGGTGTCACTGCTTCATATCTTATTTTGTATGGTCACCACGTCGCAATCTTTCACGTCAACTAGTCAATTTAATTATTCGTTTTGTCAGCATCACTTCATTTATTCGTTCATACCACATCGACGTTTTCAATGATAAGCAATCAGGTCATTAATCGCTTCATAACAAGGCATCAGTTCATTCAACAAGGTTGAGCGGTCTAAAGCTTCTAACAAGCAAGTTATTTGAATTTGATCGAATAAGTCGGTAGTTCATAGTATAGGATAGCAATTTTCGATCGTCAGTTTGTTCAAGTTTCTTAGCAGAGATTTGTTAGTATCCTGACCGTAAGTCAATCTTAGAGAATACAATGAGTTCTCTTAGCTGATCAAATAAGTCATGATACGAGGCAAAGGATAACGGATTGTTCAACTGACAGTAATTGATATAGAGTCTTATTGATTCGTGTATGAACAAAACAGGTATTCTCCCAAGGAGGAAACACTTGATCAAATGATTCTTTATCAGGAAGTCATTGATAGAAACACGTTCAATACAGAGTTACGAATATTGGTCCTTCAGTTCAGATCTTTCTTTCGCGTACGGCGTATCACACGAAAGGACTTTATGCCTGGTTGAGAGGTTTGCACACATAAATTCGAGATGAACTCGGTCGGTTTAGAAATCAGCTTTGCTTTCACCTATATAAGGTTTTCATCAATGGTCTTCAGTTGAGAAATTCTTCATCATAAGTTGACAACAGCAACGGCGTTCAGTCAGTTAATGCATACTAAGGACAATGTCGATTTTCCTTGTATGGTACATCAATGGTGTTTTACAAAGGATTGTCGCTTAATGAACGATTTCAATTCACACTAAGTAATCGCATAATGTGTCCTAATGAGTCAAACAATAGTATTGGATACTTCAGATAACAGAGTTTATTAATTCTAAGCGTTCGTGTTTGAACCAGCGATTAGATCGTCTTGAGTCTACATGAGGATCTTTGACATCAGCTTCACAGGTGTTTCTCAACATTTATTGTTTCTTCGGAGTCATCTCACTTTTATACAACTTCGCGTTGCAGATCAGTTTCGTCCTTCGCGATGCGATGCAAACGTTAATAACAGATCAGAGGGTCATATATTTTTCGTTTATTATTTCGTCTCTTCACTGAGTACGAAAGTTCTACTAGAGTCTATGCTCGATATGATTTCAGTACTAATCAATTGTCATTTAATGAGAATTCTAACAGAGTGAGTATTTACTAAGTAAATTCTCATACCTTTCCCGGAGCAGAGGGACGCGAGAGTCGTGGATGTGATTGACTCAATTTTTTTTTAATTCAAATTTTGATCCGAAGATCGGTTTTAAAACCATTTGCTCTGATACCAAATTGTAACACCCTAATCCGTCCAGGTCTGCAGCCCCTTTCGGACTAAAGTATTAACTTGGTAATCGTAAAATTTAAAACATTTCAAACACTTTTATTTATCATAATAATATTTTTCATATCATAAACAGTACAGAGTTTTCAATATTGCGGAAGCTTAACAAACATAATTTATTTATATTCTTTAATTTAAAACCATCACATCCATTTCGACTATCTCGCCTCCTTCTGCCTCCAGGATCACGTTACATCATTCTATAGACCTGCGTGTAGCAAATAAAACACACTACACGCTCAGCGGTAAAGCTGAGTAAGCATATCTAATACGTCGAACATCCACATAAATTGAATCTCAATTCATAATCAACCATTTGATATCATGAACATAATGTTCAGTTCAGATATTCAATAATCAATATTCAATTTTTAACATTCATTATTCAATCATCCAACATGTATATTCATCATTTGTCATTCAACAGTATCCTTAAACTATTCTTAGTCTAAGGCCAATCACTTTAATATTTGTCAACCCTTAAATGAATTCTAGTTTAACTAATTAAACTATATTCCAGTATACAGAGTACTCCTAATAATCCTTAAGCTAGGCCTGGTTTAAGATAAAAGGGTTTTGGAAATCTTAAACTTACCTTCACTTAAGGCCAACCAAAAACCGACAGCGTAGTGTTCACTGTTGGGTGGGTGGTACCCCCAAACGAGTAGGTACTCAAGTTTGGTTCTTGGATCCCGTACGTACGTTTTAACCCTAGCCACCNTCTTCTAGATACCTTTTCAAATCAACATTAATATGGGTATATCTTAGAGGTCTTCTAGATACCCTTGACAATACATATTATTTTCACAAACATCAATATATTCATTATGATTTAATCATTCATAATTTCCATTTTTAATTAGAACATTTATCAAGATTTAATCATCATAATCATCAATCAATAATCATTACCATAATCATCAATCAACATAATATTCAATAACAATTAGCGGCCTAGTCTCGAGTGTTAACACCCAAACTTATCGTCATGCATCACATAACATATTAGGATTAATTAAAATATTATATTTACTTTAAAAATGATTTCATTTCTGTCTTGGAGTGGAAAAATATCATGATAGCATTTTTTTGGAGTTAATTTCCGAACATGAAGATTTTGGACAGGTTAAAATGGCCTGTGGCGGTACCATCCTACCGTCTCACGGTAGTGCATTACCGTCGCACGGCAGTGCATTACCGTCGCACGGTAGTGCATTACCGCTACTGCGTGCTGCATTCGAATCAGGAACAGTACTTCGTCTTCAACCTCGGTTCAAGCTTCGTGAATATCATTTTGAGCTACCAAACTTCAATTAAACTATATAGAAATGTTCCCCAAGGTTCATAGATCATTTTGGTATCATTAATTCATAGTTTTAACATCAAATTCAAGGTTTATGATTCTTGGTTCTTCAAGCATGTCAAACACAAAACTCAACCAAATGACCATTTATGAACGTAGAAACGATCTATATGAACATTCTAGTCATTAGATATATCAACGGGCTTACCTCGAAGCGTAATGGAGGTTTTGAAGATTTTCCGGCGAAACTTCTGGCGAGGATTGTGGCTATCTCCGGTGACTTCATACCAAACTAACAACACCACTGCATTCTCCATACTCAAGGCTATCTTTCAAAACAAATTTGAAGATGAATGGTAAAGAAATGGTGAAGTTGGGTTCTTTATATAGGGAAGGAATGGAGGAAGAGGCCAAGGTGATGATGTATCCGTTCCTGTTTCGGCGTCTCAGTGGAGGGGGCTGCGGCTCCTACAGATTTTATACGTAAGTCCCTGATTGGGACTAAATTGGTCCTAGTCGGGGAACATTTTTTGGTCCAACTTTCTCCGAATTAAAATTTGTTTGTACCGTTGCGATCGGACAGTTAAACTCTATCCAACGATATAATTTTTATATTTATTCGTTATACTTTTTCTGACATCATATTTTTGGATGTTTGACTTTGATATAGTCAAAATTGGTTTAATTGACCTTTATTCAAAAAGGTTCTCGCATTTAATTCATATTATTTATTTCCATGATTTATTTCAATAAATCATTTCAAAGTTCACATTACAAACAATTTATTTATTCTTAATTTGGGTCTGTATTCAGGTTCCCAATCAAGATCACACAATAAGTAAACAGGTTGGATTTATCTCTATGAGATTTGACCCAATTATGATTATTGGACATCAATATATATTTTATTTTGGCCCAAAGCCTAACAATAATTTATTTTAATCAAAACAATTTTTGTTTAATTGAATATTTAATTCGATAAATTTTAGGGTATATTTTGGGGCGTTACAATAATAATAATAATAATAATAATAATAATAATAATAATAATAATAATAATAATAATAATAATAATAATAATAGTAATAGTAATAATAATAATAATAATAATAATAATAATAATAATAATAATAATAATAATAATAATAATAGAAGGAGAAGAAGGAAAAGAAGGAGAAATAAGAGTGAAGAAGAAGAAGAAAAGGAAAAAAAGAAGATGAAGAACGAAGAAATGGATGGGGGATGATGATGAATTGATGATGATGATGAGTGATGATGATGCATGGTGTATTAACGGATAAAAGGGATAGACGGGGAGTGGATGGAAAATCTCCCCTTGGTAAGTTTTTTTAAAATTTAGGGTACCTGAGAGTATATTTTAAAAAATAAGGGTACCTGGCGGTTCTTACAACAAAACATGAGGTACCCGGCAGCAGTTTTTTGGACAGGCAGTACCGTTTTTTTATTTTTGGGCCATGCTACATTTACACCAAAAATTATACCCCATTTATACACTACAGTTATACACAAACATTTTGATGGTTTACACCGACACAAGTGTTGGTGCGTTAACAAAAATTTACACGGACACAAAGTGTTGGTGCATTAACAAAAATTAGTTTTACACCAACAAAAAATATCGGTACAAACCTGCGGTGTACAAAATGGGGTACAAAAGTTTGGGGTACAAATAGCTTTAAATTTGAACATTAATAAAAAAAACGAGAAAAGTACTTCTCTTCCTTAGATATAGGCATTAAATTTGAACATTAATAAAAAAATTTATTCATTTGATGCATTACTACTGAAATTAAAAGCATACAAATAAAAGTACAGATAGTGGTTTTAGATGAGATATTTTTTTTGTTAGGTGGATTGTATGGTGTAGGATGGTTAGTGATGCTAGATGGGATAATTTTTTAGGTGGATTGAATGGTGTAGGATGGTTAGTGGTGTTAGATGAGATATTTTTTTGTTAGGTGGATTGTATGGTGTAGAGTGGTTAGTGGTGTTAGATGAGATTTTTTTTGTTAGGTTGATTGTATGGTGTAGGATGATTAGTGGTGTTATATGATTAGTGGTGTTAGATTAGATATCATAAAGTACATAAGCATCCAAATTAATACAGTAATAAAGTTTTTAGCATCCAAAATAATACAAGAATAAAAAGTAAAGTACAGTAAATACAGTAGAGCCAGTACCGTTAAGTTTTGGGTTTTCTATAAATATTAAATTTAATACTTTCATTCCTTAGATATACGCATTAAATTTGAACATTAATAAAAAATTTATTTATTTGATGCACTACTACTGAAATAAAAAGCATACAAATAAAAGTTATCGTACATATTTAAAAATTCCACATTGAAATTTATAACTTAACTAAGTACCCCGACGATGCCTTCGTGATCGCATATCCATATTATTTGTGAAACGGGTGCTCACTGGACGATCGGCATGCGACCTATGCCGTGTAATTGGTCGGACTAATTCGTACTCCCTCCGTCCCGCTATATTCGTCCACTTTTGACTTTTGAAACTGTTCATCTAAGCACTTTGACTCATCAAATTCTCTCAATGTGTAAGTCTAAATATAGTCATGCGTGATCTTGTTTGATTTGTCTTAACATATAGATTATTAATATATAATTTCTATAATTTTTTAATATACAAATTGCAAGATAAAATGGATTAAAAAAGTGTATTGGATGGTAATCGAGAGTAGGCCATTCCATTTCATTTTGTAGTGGCATAACACTTCCAGAATATGCATTGAGGTAATTCTGAAGTGAGAACACTTGTGGAATGAGATCATCAACCGTAATGTTGCAATAACGACATACGACGTAGACATGCACACATGGCATATGCAATGTGGCCCATTCCCCGCAACTGCACATTTTTTGGCCTAGTTGCACGACAATCTCATCTAATCTACCGGTAGCTCCAGCGTTGCCCTCAACAACGACCCGATAAATGGTTAGGTGGATTGTATGGTTTAGAATGGTTAGTGATGTTAGATGAAATATTTTTTTGTTAGGTGGATTGTATGGTGTAGGATGGTTAGTTGTGTTAGATGAGATATTTTTTTTGGTAGGTGGATTGTATGGTGTAGAATGTTTAGTGGTGCTAAATGAGATAATTTTTTTGTTAGGTGGATTGTATGGTGTAAAATGTCTAGTGGTGTTAGATGAGATATTATACAGTACATAAGCATCCAAATTAATACAATAATAAAGATTTTAGCATCCAAATTAATACAATAATAAAGATTTTAGCATCCAAATTAATACAAACTAGTGTTAACCTCGTTCTTCGCACGAGCTCGTATATATTCTAAATTTTTGACATTCGATAAATATAATTTTATTTATTTTAGTTTTCTAATAGTGATATAATATGTGTTAGATGAATTTGTTTTAACTCTAAGATATATCTTTTTTCAAATATTATACGTTAAATATAGATGTACATGCACTAAAGATTCTATAAGTATTTTTTTAAAAGTAGTAAAAGAGAAATGATTTATTGTTTTAAAAATCATATGAAACTTATTTTTTCAAAACATCGATAAAGTTAAAAAATATATTTAAAGATATAATTTGATTATGTAAACAAAATATGTTTTAAACTGGTAGAATGTATATTGGTATGTTTACTTAAAAACAAAATTTTTTTACAAAATAATGGCCATTATTGAATGAAGTATTAATGAAAGAGTAATTTACCTAAATATGACTAAAACATAATGACTTTCCCAATATAGGACCATATGTTTTTATTTTTCAATGTAGGACCATTGGTCATTATCTATTAGTCATTATTCAACTAAATGTCCAGCATCACTTGGACATTATTCTTCTCACTAGTCATTATTAAGTCCTATTTAGGGAATAAAAAAGTTTAAGTCCTACATTGGGAAATGACTTATGTTTTAGTCCTATTCACTGCAAATTTCACTTAATGAAAATAGTTTTAATTAATAAAACATTATTATAAAAAAATGGACTTATTAAATAATGATACATCATTAAAGAATATATGTGTGGCAATATGTGTGTGTGTGTCTATATATATATATATATATATATATATATATTATATCTATATATATATATATGTATGTATATATATATATATATATATATATATATAGACACACACACACA